TTAGTTGTTTTTCGGGTTTTGTAGGAAAGTTTTTCGATACCATGCCAGCTTGAAGGAGCCACAAATTACATAAAGAAGCTGCAGTTTAACTTGGAACAACTGAAGCAGAAAAAAGAATGTATCTTGAGGAAAGATTCTGCAAATTTGAGTGTGCCGAGAGGGATTGATTTGCCGAGCATTGATGTTCGTGTGACGGGCTCTGCTTTGGAGGTTGTCTTGATATCGGGAGAAAATTATCAGTTTAAGTTAAGTGAAATTATCCGAATGTTGCACGAAGAAGGTGCTGAAGTTGTCTCGGCTAGCTTTTCGGTGCTTGATGATGCATTTTTCCATACTGTGCATTGCAAGGTAGAAAAAAAAAGAATTGATATTTTCGTGCATGTTTTGTTCGAAATTAATCGTATGTATTTCTTGAGTTTCGAATTTGCAGAATTTGCCGAGCATATATGTTCGTTTTTATTTATTTTCAGGTTGATTATGGAGATTCTTCAGGAGATGATGCAGCTGCAAGAATACGTGACAGGCTAATTAAGGACCTTCGTTAGCGATATTTAGATAAATATAAGTTAATGTCTTCTATATATTGCAAAAAATAAAAATAAAAAATTTACGTATTTTGTTATGCTTGTGATCAATTTCTGATCTCAGGTTATTTATATTAATATATTGAAGTCTTTCGTTGTATTATTTGCCCAGGATTTTTATAAACTTTGTTTTTAGTTATGCCTGATTTGCCATTTTAATTCAGTGAGTACTTAATTAAACTGATTTTAATTAATGATCAACATTTGCAACTTCAAAGATCATGCAAGTCATTGGCACCATATAATCTTAGCATTTCAATATTTCTTACTGCACATCAGTTTGTTTGCTTATGTAATTTGGGGAACTGTTTCTCTATCCACACGAGCACGAACATGTGTGACTACCAGTCGCGTATAAAAATTTCGTGATCTTTTAACAATATAGTCATCGTGTGTGGTATGTGATTTGCGATGCCTCCTCCCGAAAATAAACCGGTTGTGAGCCGCTGTCTTCTTATGGGTTTGTTTTTGTTGATGACTAGCAAAACACGTCGGGATGATTCTTGACGGAAAATCTCTGACGCCTTATTACTTTCTATCGTAAGTACTAGAGATAATCACTTAGTTATTTTAATCTTTCCCTCGAAAAAGTTATATCGTAGATTAATTGATATATATCTCTTCTCGGTCTCAACATGAACAACTTACTTCATAAGTTCTTAGGATTTCCATTCTCCTGTAAGATCTTATCAACCTCTTGCTCTGTTTATTTTCTTACATTATAAGTTTCTCAATTCTAGAAATCAATTATCTCGTCTCGTTCTCAAATCAATTACAAATATGTATTTGTAGTGGTCGTCTATCATCCAATTAAAATAAGCACGACAAATTTACAAAACGAAAGATAAACCAAAATGAATCAAATAAAAATCATGTCATAAATCAATCCGATACTAACAAATCGTATAATATAAGATGAAATAAGCCTAG